TCACACAGGTTTCTATTTCCAGTGTTGGGTTCACACAGGTTTCTTGTTTATAGTGTTAGATTTTAACTTCACACAGGTTTCTTTTTCCAGTGTTGGGTTCACACAGGTTTTCTATTTCCAGTGTTGGATTCACACAGGTTTTCTATTTAGTGTTGGGTTCACACAGGTTTCTTGTTTATAGTGTTAGATTTTAACTTCACACAGGTTTCTTTTTCCAGTGTTGGGTTCACATAGGTTTTCTATTTCCAGTGTTGGGTTCACATAGGTTTTCTATTTCCAGTGTTGGGTTCACACAGGTTTACGTTACATTATTGGGTTCACACAGTTTTCCTGTTCACAATGTTGGTTTCACACTGATTTCAGGTAAATTTCCTCACACGTTCAGTTTAAACCTGACCTTACACGATTGATAACTCAATTTTTCCATCTTTGACAGCATTGAAGGTGAATATATCCCAGTGGTAGGAGATCAGGTGACGTACAAGGAGTGCCTCATACCTCCCAAGAAGACGAAGACACAAGCCGTAGAGGTTATTATCACTCATCTCGCGCCAGATGTAAAACACCACCGCTGGGAGGACCCTGATGACGATTAGACATTAAATCATGCCAAAAACAAAACAAGATTATTCAATAAATAAGATTTCCATGTACAACTCATCAAATTGATTACTTTTCAAGATTTATTTTTTAATAATAATTGAAACTATTTTGTTTCAACTTTAAAAGTCGGTTGTAGTACAGGTTTCATGTGTTGTGATAGCTGAGTAACATGGTTTTAGGAGGATTGTACCCTCGAGCACTGTATTATGGAGTTAAACAAGTTTGTGTCTCGATAATGCTTGTTCATATGGCTGTTTGATGCTCGTACCGCCAGGGGCCGATTCATCGATGCATCTTAGCCAGATAACCTCGTAGTATGCGGGAATGTTCATGTAACATTGCAACATTCTCTGTCAAAGTAATAAGACAAGTATTTGTGTAGTTACAATAAGACCAGTCTGTAAAATGCCCGCAATTGATGTTTATTTTTTTAAGACATCCATATTAATTGTAATTTTAATTGTGTGAACGCAGCATTCAGCATTATTAGTGCAATTAACTCGTGTTCTTACTAATTGTTGCTAGGCAACGTTATCTTCAGAAATGATGCAGATATTAAGATTAGCAATCATAATTTATCAGAAATGAAAGTGCCACAGTCTCTGCACAGCTTTGAGCCCGTTATGTTATGTCTCGGATTTGTGCATTTCAATGATATGTGTACATGTACATCTATTTATACTAATGGTTTTCCCGTCAATTGCGAGGCAAATTTTATCTTCATAATCATATGCTGGAATACCAATCTGTTTGAAAATGTTTCTTTGATGTTGATGTACAGCAATAAATTATCTTATTGAGCAAAAATGAAATTTTTTGTTTATCCTAAGTATAGACCATTTATCTTGTCTTAGGCCAAAAGAAAATGTTGTTGACTCTGTCTTCTGTTTAGTTGTTAAATATAATTTGAGCAGATGCCCATTCAAACTAACATCTAATCATAGTCTGTTTTTCACGTCAATGTATAATATGAGACTCTTCACGAGAAAGAAGTTTCGAACACTTAAAGCCGGAGGGTCAACTGCACACACGCGGGAATCGAATCCCAAGTGACGATAAAAACAGACGCTAAAAATGCAAAGCTTATGGGTAAGCATTTGTTTGTAAACAATGACAAGCCATCTGACGCATGCGCAGGTGTCGACTCCCACGCTTTAAGTATCAGAACGTTTTGTATGCTTTCTATCTAGATAAACAAAAACTTTGGACTAAATGTTCCTATTTTGTTTTTAAATGACTCCTTATTGTACCCATGCATTTGTTGTGGGGTAATTATTTATATTTTATGAATATGTTCTTTAGACTCTTATTTGAATAACCACTATCCAGTACTGATGTACAGCGCCCCCTAGTGGCTTAGAATGTATTGGTGATGCCCCCCGCCCCCCTCCAATAAGGTTAATCCAGAGTTGTTATTTCAGCAAGTTCGCACATGATACTTGTATTGAGGGAAGTTGCGCTCACATGTGGTAATAGAAATAGTTTTTGTATTTTCAACTGTAGTGTTAATTTTACTAGTTAAATTAAAAATGCGTTTAGGGAATTTAGACAAGCTTATTGCATTGTTGTCCAAATATAAATATCACCGCTGTCAAGAATTCTTAATCTGTATTGGTCTTACAGAAATAATATTAATAAATATGAGCAGTGAACATTATGAGTCATTGTAATCGTACACCAAATCCAAAAATTTTGGATACGACTTTCAACAAAAGTTGAAAAGTGTACATGCACTTTGGCATTACTAACGCTACTATGTAGCTCAGAAATCTATAACAAAAATCTATTGCTTTTGGGGTTTACACTATGATGTATGTTTCTTGAATAATATTTCTTGTAATTCATTTTCATGGATTACCTTCACGTTCACTGTAAAATGCTTTTTTTTTGTTTGAATTAATTTTTGCTGATTTTGTTATGAGTCGGGTAACAAATGTAGGAAAAAAGGTATATTCGCTGGATTTTCTTTTCACTGAATAAGTACTACAGTCTACTTTTCAGCAAAAATAAATTCCAAGCAAAAATTAAGCATTTTACAGTACATGATTTTAAATTTTTCACAGGTTTATTCTATTCCTCCAGAAAATTTCAATTGAAATTTAAAATATTCTACGATACCATACTTTACTCTGTTGTTATCCAGGGGTGAATCAAGATTGACATTGAGTACTGGCCAAAACTGAAATATTTGTCATGTCATTCTATTTCTGGAGAATTCTCACCTTTTTTGGGGTAATTTTTGGCAAAATTCTTACCATTTTGGTACTTTCTGCCGATTCTGTTGCACAGGTGTAAGTGGCCATATGCCTGGATCCGTGCCTGCTATTGTTTGCCAGATGTAGCAAGAAAGAACATTTGGTTCATGTTGCTTTCTGTTATTATTTTTGTAATCCGAGAAATGTGTATTATCCCTATTCTTGATAACATGTTTCCCAAATACAATATTTGAAACGTTGGCCATGTCAACACATGTAATTGTTTCTCCTTAATAAATTTCTGCTTGTAATTATCTTGATAAATATGACTCCTTTCTTTTTATTAGCTCCGCTGTTGACTTTGTCGAGTGGAGCTTATCCTACGAGTGATTGTCTGTCGTTCGTGTCAACTTTTTACTTTTTCAACTTCTTGAAAACTACAAGCATGAATGCTTTGATACTTGGTATACATGTACCTTGGGTAGACCTCTCTTATCTTCAATTCTCTAATTTTTGGTAAAAAGTTATATTTTTGGCTTCTTGTTAAAAACCGCAAATCCAATTGCTTTGATATTATACATATAGATACATCTCAGATTTGTTCATTTTGTAATGATATCTTCAATTCTCTAATTTTGGTGAAGATTTTTGTAATTTTTGGTAAAAAGTGATATTTTTGGCTTGTTAAAAACCGCAATTGCTTTGATATTACATATTTAGGTACTACATGTGGACCTCTCTCAGATTTGTTCATTTTGTGATATCTTCAATTCTCTAATTTTGATGAATATATTTGTCATGTTTAGAAAATGGCTTATTTCTGGATCGATCCAGAGTGTTTACTCACATTTTCCTTATCATTACAGCCAAACATCTGGCTAGCTGTGCTACATCCTAAAATTCAGTTCATTATAGGTTTTATCTCCACTTCCCTGTGACATAAATGGGAACAAAGATTTTTTACTTTTTCACCATATTTTATTAGAATTAAAGTGATATACCATATTCCGAAACATAAATCAAAGGGGGTTGCCATAGATGTATTGTTATGTTATTGTGTACATGTAGTCCTGGACTGGCCCAATCGTGTCAAATTTATAAATCACTGTGGAATATTTTATTTTCGCTTGGAATTTATTTTCGCTGAAGGGATGATTCCATGAAAATAAAATCCAGCGAATATACTTTTTTAGTCCCCGTTCGGACGCAGTCCGAAAACGGGGACTTATGTTTTGTCCTGTGTGCGTCCGTCCGTCCGTCCGTCCGTCCGTGCGTCCGTGATCACCTGTATCTCGAACATGCATGGACCGATTAAGTTCAAACTTCACTCATACATCACACATTATATGGGACATATGCACATGCATTTTTTTCATGATCT